ATACTCGAATATGAAAAACCCAAAATTGTTAGATTCTGTCGCAGACAATGAACTGACTCCTAGCTGGTTGTAGTGAAATAAAAATATAGCAACGCTGCGCAAAGAATACCTTGCATCGAGAAAACGCTACCAGAGAGCTACGAGGAGACGAAAACTGGAGAGCTTAATCACACTCAAACCAAACATAGAGAAAAGTGAAAAATGCTATCCAAAGCTACCAGGGCTGCTCAATATAATTGTTGAGCAGATCTCTGCAAAGCAGTAGATGTTGATTTACGGGGACTACCATATAAGATGGCCGTTAAAAAATTGCATAGGATACCACTCAGCCTTGAAGTTCAAGGCAGGGAAATGTAGATAGCAGACCACCTATTCCCGGATATAACTCCAGTAAGCTGGAATCTCTTTCCTATTGACATAGAGATTGAAAGTATGGACCTCAACCATTTATTTGGAGGACAGAGTGATGTGTGCTTGAGCGCAATTATACTTTTGGAAATTCAATGTAGAAATAAAGGAAAAACACTGTTAATTTATACACTGTAAATATTAGTTTATTTCATTAGACTACTTAACTTAAGATTATGAAAAACGCTATAGAGGTTTTGTCACTTAAGATTAAGAAAAACGCTATAGAGGTTCTATCACACTATAGGCCGTATGTCGACTGTTTCGCTCGCGCTGATTGTGGGAGCCGTTTGCCAGCTCGAGCCCGAATTTGCTGACCAACGCGATTCCCACAGTCACGTAGGCCGTCGCGTTAGCCGACGAATGTACATATACAGGGTACAATATACAGAGTACAACAAGAGTAAGTTTCAGCCGTCTACTCTTAATGAACAGAAAACCGCAGCAATCAGACTTCTTTCAGAGAAAGCATATGTGGTCTGGAGTACCAAATGAAGTTTTATTCTATGTGATTTGTCTCAAACCCAATACACTGCTGGACGCATTTAATAGTTTTCTGCGTCAAGGGTGATTTCTAAAAAAAAAATGGAAGGAATTTCGACTTGTCCTACTTTACAATGGCCCAGGAAAACTACCATTAAAATTAATCGATATTCTGTCAGACCATGGATGCTTCCGGTATTATTTCTGCGAAATGAATTGAGCGGACAGTTCAACCTATCTATACTGCGGTTATCCAATAGACAAGACGGAACACGTCCTTTTTGACTGACCGAGATAGGTTGAACAAAGGCCCCGTAGGACAATTCCTAGGTTGAAGTAGCGAGTCCCTCGAAAATGTTCAAGATCTACTTCTCGGTCCCGAAATTTCAGCCGAGACGGACTCAGTCAGAGTTCGGAGCTATCACGAGGTAACATCCAGAGACAGCGCCAAGTTGATAAAAATGCTGGCCGACATCATGCCCATAGATAAGGAGAACTAAAGGCTGCTTAAGAAAGCATGAATTCATGGATAACAACCACAAGAGGGCAACATACCTAACATGGCAGGTAGAGAGGAAAACGAACCGGACGAGATATCAGGCTTGCTGGTGTTGAGCACCAGTCTGTGAAGCCACATGGACCGGAATTCAAACCTGCACTAAATCATCGATCTTATTATTATATTGACAATATTATTTTTAATTTATCTGTTAATATGAAGAAAAAAACAATAAATGATGGCGGCCGGGCGAAAGAATTACGTAAGTACGTACCGCTTGGTGAACGATAAAACGAAAGAAAAAAAAAGTACTTTTGATTTATGGTTACTTGACTACAAGGCCACCTGCAGGGGGGGAAGGGCCACGGCCCATATCGCTAATTTAGATAATACCTAATTTTTATTGCATTTATTTGCATTTTATTTAGTAGTCTTGGAGGGCGATAAGGAGGACTGATAACTGATAAGTTGACACAAAAGTGTTCGTCAGTTTTCAATATCACTAGGTATTCGGTATTTGGTTTATTTGTTTTAATCATGGTTGTAGATTCATATCATATCAACTCTATGGTCCATATACAATTATTGTGGTTTTAATTGATAAAGTCATAGTGATGACCACGGTTTAAGATAGCCATGGTGATGACTGTTTTATCACAGAATAGATTAAATTTAATCTATTATGTAGTTTTATACGTTTATGATAATATTGTTGTTATTTTTTTAAAAAGTCAACAATCTGACATTGTTGACATTGTTGAAGATACAATTAAGCTTTTTTGCATGGGAATCACGGCGCGTTCAATTTTTATTTGACGATAATGATCAATGAGTCATAATTATTTATTATTAATTGTTTTTTTCATTTTGTATTATACAGGCTTATTTATAACAACAACATAATATTATATATTTGTATATATATGTATATACTTACTATATTATAGTAAATATTTTTTTTTACGATGTGATAAAAAACAGAATTTATGGTAAGTGTATTATTTTTCGCTGCCCCCCCCCCCACTCCCCTGGAGAAAAATTTTTGCGGCCTTGCTTGACTATGATATGAAAAATCGTCGGATTATCTTCGTTTTACAATATTTCGTTAGAGCATTTCGTTTTCAAATGTTTTAAATAAAATATAATTCTCTTGTCATAAGCGTATGTATTAAAAAAAAAAAAAAACTAAACGAACTATAATATTTGAATAATAATAGTGTTGTTCCATGTGTTGAAAATTAACATGTGAATAGTATAATAAATTGTATACTAAGATAATGGCGTCGTTGTCTGTACAAAAGAATTTTATTCATAGGTACTTTTTCGTCTGGACGTTATTTTTCAAGTAAATATATTGAGAACAGTGTAATAATATTACATAGTTTAGTTGTTTAAGAAGGTATCTTCTTTCTATTATTATGGAAACATTGGCTGGATTATTTTTCGAGGCATTATCTACGTTGAAAATACGTATAGAGAAAATATCTTATTCTTTAATAGCATTATCTTTAAATAATTATTTGTTGGTATTGTAATGTAAAAATAGAACCGTAGGAATACGTATAATATACATATCAATGCATACATATTAAAATGGGTACACACATTATTTACACCCATTTGAAGTATCATTGTGCCCCATTAAACCGTGAAATAAAAATAAAACTTAGTAAATTATTCAGGAGTACGTACCTTTTCTACATTATTCTAGGAAACGGATAATCATATTTCTGTTGATCACAGTCTTAAAAAATATTAAATGATTAAATTTTATTCGATATGTTTGGTTACCCAGATCCTCGTGCTACAATAATTCAGGTATAATGTGAAGAAAGAAGTAAAAAAAAAAAAAAAATACAAAATATTATGGTCATACCATATTTTTTCGGTATGATAATACATTAAAGTGGAATTCTTGCTTATTCGTTAGAAAATAGATAATGTATTTTTATCGTTTAGCTAAGATTCATCAGTTAATCGGTCGATTATAAGGAGATAATTTCAATATTCAACCATAATATTTAATTTCAAAATAAATAATCTTAGAATATTACAATGTACTTACCGTTTTACACGGCTCGATGATTTTTAAATTGTCGATGTTGTTTACCATTTGATTGAGAACACTGCAAGGTAGATGTATAAACAAACGTTTAATTTAAGAAAAAACAAAGTTGAGTTTCAATAATAAATTTAATAAATGAAATTAATTTCTTTCAATAACATAGAATACGAGTTCAGTCTAACAAATGTAAACATATGTTAATGGACTTATAAAATGTTGAGAAATATGTATATATATATATATATATATATATATATATATAATATATACATATATTGTTTAAGGATAGTTTTATTTATAGTTTAAACATATTACTAGCTTCTAGTAGCCAATTCGTTTATTTTTTTTTCATGTGTAACATACAATGCATACATTTAAATTGGCTTTTTTTTATTAATAATTATATAACATTTCAACAAAATATGATAGTTAAACTTAATGTTAAAATTATTTTGGTTTGTTAAAATCGTAATTTGAATAGTAATAAGTATAAGTACATCATCATCAATAATGAAAATAATAATAATAATAATAACATGGTTTTATATTATGTATTAACAATAAATAGGGCGTTTCCATATCTATATAGGTAATTACACTTGAGTGTGAATGACGAACATATTATAACAATAACAATGATTATACCGTATTGTTTAAACGTATTACACAGATGAACTGATCCGAACAGAATTGAAAATTTTGAAACGATAACTTTTGACTAGAAACCAACACGGTCGAAAGGAGTTCAACAAATGTAATACTATTACATTGGGTATAAATAACAAAATGCCAAGAAAACGTTTAATTATTAATATTAAATTATGTATTAAGTTTTTTTAAAAGACTGGTCTACTGCAGTCGGTGGTTAAAACGGTTTGAGTTGGCAATTTCTTTACACAGTGTAATTGATTTTTTTGTTTATACATTGGTAGGGAAATAATAATTGTAATAATAATACAGCATTATTACAGATTGGCACGACCGGGAACAAGTCGTGAATAAAACTAATTTATACAGTAAATAAATAATTTTAAACAACATCCTGAGCAAATAACAACTTATATCATACTGTTGAATTTTATGTTAACCTCGCCCGTTTCGACTGGCCATGTTTGAATTGATTTTTAAACATTATACTACATTTTGCCATTTCATTTATATACAAAAAAAAAAAAAATAAATATTTATAAATGTATATATATATATATAAGTGTATAAAGCTAGCAGCGACTTAAATTTATTGTATATACAAATATACATGCCAATCATAGGATATTTTCCATTATGCACGAATATAATTTAACAGTGAAACCCACAAATCGAGTGTTTCAAGCTACATTATACAAATATATATTATGTTTAAACAATTTAATAACGAAATATCATAGCAACAGAACCGCTGGACCAACTTGACTTTTCAGTACAACAACAGCGGCAGCGGGAGCAGGAGCAGCAACAGGACAAGCTCTGTACATATATATATATATATATATATATATATATATATATATATATAATGTATATGTTATGTATATATTATATTATATTATATGAAAACTAAAACGCTAAAAAGAAAATGAGAGAAATGTGAAAAAAAATTGCCATTTTCTTATTTTATCACCCGCGATGTTATAACTATTGTGAAGGTTTATAAAACAGAATCAATGTGATTAAAAACGCTCCGCATCACGGAATCCGTTTAAAGAGTGTGATAAGATTAAAATATAATAATATGTATATACGTATATATATATATATATACATACTTATATGATTTTTACACAGGTTTTGCGCGAAAGAAAGTACAAAAAGTCCGATTTTTCTTTTTTTTTTAACTTCATATCACCACGACATCGTTTCATGTCGACAGGAAGACGTTTTCGACCAAGTTCATAAAACGTTTGTGTAGGTCAGGACGTTGGGTATGTACAGTCGGTATACACTGTACAGGTATATTTATTATCCTTTATTCGACTCGATGGCTGAGCAATGTTGCAGATGATAATTACTATAATAATAATAATAATAACAACAATAATCATATGACAGCAACATAACAATAACAATATCTCGTTGTTTAAACTCCCTTGTAATAACGATAACAATAATAAAGTAACGGGTTGAAAAGGATTAAAACAAGGAACCAGCGTGGTCGCAGCCGAGAGGTGTTATCGAAACATAATATATTGGTCTCGCGAAACGCGGTAGCCCCGACCCCGTCATGTGGGTGAAATTCCGGTGGCACTAGAAACCCTTCGGACCCATCGTCACCGTTCTGCGCGAGCCGCCGTTCCCGTTGGTTAGGTCGGTCGAACGTTGGCCCGGCGCACGGACACGTCACCCGATTCACGTCGTAGTATCTCTTTTTTTCCCCTTTCTCCCGTCCGCGCAAGATTTTTTCGAGTCGCATTGTACGTCCAACTCGTATAAGTCCAACGCCGAAGCCATAGACACCCGCAACCGAACGTTTCCGGTTTTTGGCTGTCACGTAGGGGGGGGGGAAGACACTTATCGATCAAGCCGGACGGCTGCGCGGACAGGTCGTTTGCCCAGAACAGACGACCGAACGAATCGCCCTCCCCCCCAATAGGGTACGCGTGTAGAAGTGCGATTTCCGTATCGCTTCCCCACGCCCAAAAAGAACCCGTGAACGACTGCAAAGAGGTGCCGTTATTATCTTTACTGTTGTTGTTATAGCCACGTCGATCTCACCAGTACGCGAGCCTGTCAAAAGTTCTCCGCTACCGCACGAGCACGCTACATCTACCGCTGCGGTTTTACGTCGCAGAGCGATACCGTCTATCAAAATTTGATGTGCATATTTAATATGCTTGGCTCGATGGGTACGATAGCCGGTGGGTTGCCTCGTTCGCAGACAACATACACAACGAACCGGATCGGCAACTTGCATTCAAAAGTGAAATTACCGTCCATTTTTACAGAAGTTATGTAAATAATAATAAACCAGACGACGGTATGGTTCGACGATGACCCATAGGTATACTTTTTAAATGGGGTTCATTGTTATTATTGTTCAATTAGATTTAAAGATAATTTAACGTGTCTACATGTATTACGTTCCAATTATCTCATAGACGAAAAAAAAAAGTCTAAAATGATTCGTTCGAACGGTTTTGTAATCCAGATAACTATCTATATCTGCGGTCTCAATCGTGTACAACTGTAAGGCGATGGCATTCTTAGTGTTTTAAAATCTGCGGATAAAACGCGATACAATTATTATTATAATTATTTTTATTATTATTATTATTATTATTATTATTACGATTACGCGTACGTGACGATAATGGCCGTGAATACGGATCTTTTGAAACGGTACCGGTGACGGTGGCGCGCACTATCTCCGGTACGTGGTGCCGCAAATCATCTTGGTGAAGGCCAACCGGAACTCGGGACTGAACACGGTGTAGATGATTGGGTTGAGGGTGGAGTTGAAGTAGCCCAGCCACAGGAAGAAGCTGGATACGTACTCGTTGATGACACAGTCCTGGCATAGGGGCATGACCAGGGCCATGATGAAGAACGGCAGCCAACACACGACGAACGCGCCGGTGATGATGGCCAGGGTCTTGGCCGCCTTCCGTTCTCGCTTCGCCTCTAGCGACTCCTTCTTCTCGCGCTTAGGCTTGACCCGGGCAGCCGCGGGCACGCTCATCCGGTTCACGTTCATCTCGATCACCGTGTGCCGGCCACCGCTGCTACCGCTACCACCGCCGCCGATGCCGCCGCCGCAGCCGACCGATGGGTCCGTCATGGTGGGCCCGTCGTCCTCGATGACCGGAGGCTGCAGCTGATTGTGGTGCTGTTGATGCTGGTGCTGGTGATGCTGGTGCTGGTGCTGGTGCTGAGCGGGGGCCGTGGTCGCGCCGTGATTGTGGTTCGAGGTGATCGTGAACGCGGTGGTTTTGTTCTCCTCGCCTCCGCTCCCGCAACCACCGCTTCCGCTCCCGTTTCCCGCTTTTGACTGACCGCCACCGCCGCCGTCCTGCGACGATTCCGGCATGGAACAGCTGGAATGGCCGTCGATCAGCCCGATGCTCGAGCACACGGCCGCCTCTTCCACTTGTTTTTTCTTCTTGATGCGTAGGAACACGGCCTTCCGAAAGAAACCGCATTTCTTGGGCTCAGCGGCCGCGTCGTCCACCGGCGCCTTCTTCAACCTGAAACACGTACAAGCGAACTGCATGGAATCGGCTGTTCGTACCGCTAACACGCATTGCATCCGCGGTCATGACCCTACCCGGCAAAGCCGATAAACTCGCGCTGTTCAGGTATAAGCGATTTCTACAGGTGTCCGGAAAACTTAAATATAATAATCAACCGAGATCGGTGGCAAAAAAAAAAAAAAAAAAATCGTATTATTTACTACCTATAAGTGTTTACTAATATAGTTTGAAAATACTGCGATATTAAATATTATTTATGGAATGATCTATTAACATATTTTTTTTAATATTAATTACGAATATTGTTTAAAAATTAAATAATGCACACCATCCTGTTGCTTGCGTATCGTCAATTTTCGAGGTTCGATGCAGTTAAAAAAAATGTTCTTCGAAAACACAAAAATGAAATGTCTCATATTAACGCAAGGGAGTAGTCCTACAATAAAAAATATACTGTACACACAATACCAGGTTTTGAGTATGTATCGTTTGTATTTATTGTTCTGGATAGCAAGAAATCGAAAAGAAAGTATGATTTTTTGTCATGCAAATCAAAACATTTTATTTTATTTCGTATTCATTTTATAGAAATGGAAATAAAATATTCAAGGGATGAGAATACGATTTTGACTATATATGATTTAACTACAACGAAAAAAGAGATAAAGAAGAACACAGCATCAGGACACACACAAAGTTTATCCAAACCCAACGTTGGAGTGTCTGAAATATGTTTTTTAAGCAGTTTATTATTTTTATCATCTGAAAGCAAAAGATTAATTGTATATTATTATTAATATTAATTTTTAAAGAAGTATAAATTTATTAATAAAATAAAAATTAAAAATTATTAAATGGTTAATATTTATAAATTAATTTATAAATAAATAAATGAATAGTATATACACATATGAACGAATGAATAAATAAGTGCTTAGCCTGGAGTATTATTATATTTATAAAATACGATAATACGATCGATTTCGAATTAAAAAATCATCGTTGGGTATTATATATATATATTATATAAAATTACGATTTTGTCAACTGTACCTACATAAACTATTTATTTATTTATTTATATACAAATTCATTATATGTTTAGCAGCTTGAACATATAACATAGATCCCTAAGTAATATTGTCAAATATTATGTTACATAGACGTTTTATAAAATAAATAAATAACAATTGCATTGTAAGTTAATCATGAGGAGTTCGATGGAATGTATGAAACCTTTTTTAAAAAACTTTGTAAAATCATTACAAAAAGTATTAAATAACAATTTGAACAAAGTTTTAATTGTATAATACATGGCATTTTTTACGAGTAACAAATTACTCGAAGCCGCTTGTTTTTTATAAAAGCAATAATTTTTTTGTCGTTAGAAATGTGAAACCCATATTATATTAATAGCGAGAGAATAATAATTATAAGAAGTAAGATAATTGTATAGGTACTAAAATTCTACGGAGAGCTAAGCAGCTCCAGGGATAATTTTGCTGTAACTCCGGATTTCTACTCTTGTACGTGGTTCACATATTTATTTAGTTGCTAATGATGCTTTTAATTCTTGACTATAATCAAGCAGGTTCACTGAAGTATGCATTTTGATGTACAAACAATCGCCTACTTCAACACTTTTAAATAAAAGTGCAGAAGCAATTATTTACAGAGCACGGTCTGCAGGAAGTGATTTTAGTAATATGTTACGATTGTAGGCTTTGCAGTGACGAAATGTGTCAAAACGCGTATTTATTGTTGATTGATTATAATTTTAATTTCACAAATCAAGAGACGAGAAAAGCTCACGGCATGATATACTATTTCAAAAAGTCATCTCAATCCATGGGTACGAGAAGGATCAAACGTAATGTCTTATATTTGTAGAGTATTATGGTATTAGTATTAGTGGAATCTTACTGGTAAAAATTAAATCGAAAAGTTAATTCCGAGACTCACGACCGTACACGAATCAAACGGAGTAAATACGAGTGGTCTTCGAAAAATGGCTATATGCTACGTTATACACTAACAGGGTGAGCTCAGAAATTGGGTTGGCAACACATATATTATTAAAGAGTTAGAAGAAAATCAGAATAAGAGTCCGAATAAGAACGTAAAATACTAAGTGTAATTTTTACAAGCCTATGGGAGCCCGGCTCAAACCCTTGTTCCCTTGACAACATTTTTGGTCTAGTTCGAAGAATTTTATCTAGAACTGGAAATCCAACTGCAGGAACACAGTAGATCGAATAGAGTAGGGGCCAAGTGGTTGAAAGGAAATCGATTGGAATAATTTAATGCTAGCATAGCTAGTGTTTTATATATTGTAGTATAATGTGCATGTATAATCTCTCGACATATCGTGACGTTCTCATCCTTTGTTGCTCCTATTTCAAACGACCGTGTATACATCCGTCGTAATCCTTGCGTTCGTTTGAGTGCCTATTTATAATCACTGCGCCGCCGTTCACGTACAATATGTGAAAAGCTCGATTACTAAGTTATAGCGAAAACCTACTTAATTCATTAATCCCGGCGGTTAAACAATATTAAGGCGATCAGAAACCAACTGCACGCACTCATTGCTGTGTAAAAATCGACTGCGAAATGCACGTGATTTATAGCGGCTGCGGTACAACCTGACCCTTCATAGGTATTGTTTTACAGATTTGACCCCGCAAAAATGGCATAATATATTGTTCCCCACGTATTATCTCGGGTTTTTCAACGCTATCCGGTTGAATAATATCATAGAAAATCATAATAATAGTTTTTGCTATGGCGGAAACAATATATTATCCTTAATACATTAAATCCCCTGCCGAGCTTAAAAATATGTTTATTGATTTCTTGTATGGTTTTCGTATGGTACGGTAGAAATGATGATTATTTATTCGTTTATATTTTTGTTAATTGTTGAAACCACTTTAACATTATATATCATACAAAAACATTAGGTCTAACCTCGAGTGTTCGAGCATTGCGTTTCTCTGAGCTCTTCGCCTGCGAATCCTTCTCCTGGCTATTTTGAATATTTTCCAATAGAGGAAGAGGATGACCAGCAGAGGCACGTAAAATGTGGAGCACGTAGCAAATATCTGATAGCCAATGTCTTGGCTAACCATGCACCGCTGTTGGATATTGATGCGATCCAAGTAATCCGGGTCCTTCCAGCCAAACTGCGGAGCCAACGACACCACCAGCGCAACGCACCACACCACGACAATCATGCCCACTATCCGTCGGCCGTTTCTCGTGTGAATGTAATCGACGTTAGTGACGGCCCAATACCTGCGGAACAATTATTATCGTGCATATTAAAGTGAAGTCTTTTAATAATTGAATGTTCAAAGTTAAGTGTTTTGCAGCTTCATAAAAATATTCTCTAGTGATTGACAAACTGTAATCTTGTACTGTATTATGGACATACGGAATGCTTTCGAAACCATAACAGTAATGCAAAAATAATGTGACAATTGAAAATACGATTATTAGACAATCATAAAATAATCAGTGTTTAAATTCGATCGTCATTGCTATAAAACATGTTTTGTATCTAATATACCATATATGTATATTGTGTTAATTATAGGTTTTTGTTAAAATATTAAATTTTTAGATATTTAGTTAACAAGAATAGTATGTACACTCATATAATAGGAAATTATATAATAATAATAATCATAATAATTATAATATAGTTATTTCATTTAGCTCAGAAAAAATATTTTTAAAAATAATTATATATCTCCAAGAAAAATTGATATTTATTAATTATACATCCAAAAAATTGTATTTTTAATCTTTATAAATATTCTACAATAACTTGTATAAGTAACTTAAACGATATGATTGTACTCGCCTGTATATTGTGCACTGTACACGCTTATGATTCATGATTTATGTATTTTTAAACGAAAGATAAACTTTAGTTTATCTTCCATAAATAATTTTTATTTGAGCAATTCTATATATTGAAGGTAAGATTAAAATTTTATTTTTTATTTAAAATGTATCATATGTAGGCTAAAAAAAAAAATTAGCTAACTTTAAAATTTAATTACTTAAAAGTAATTACTAAAGTATAAAAAATAATGAATATTTTAAATAATAAACTTAATGTATAACTTCTAATTTATTATAATTAATAATTGAGTTTTTCTTTACTTATTGAAAAATTAATAAGAATTATTACTTTAGGGAAATCCAACATTGTAAAAATATTTTTCAACTTATATTAGGAAAAGATAATTGAATACCTCTTTCAAAAAAATTAAAGAACATATGATTAGCTTGTATGATTGAAAAAAACGGAAATTTACATTAAGATACTAATCCTGATATATTATTAAAAAAAAAAAAAAAAATTCTGGTTCTTAAAAAATATAAATATAAATAAAGCTAACAGGCAAAAAACAAATTCTTGAAATTTATAAAAAATGACTTCAAGCTAAATTTGAAATGTTTAAATTGATTTTGAAAAGTATCGCCTCTTTTGTAATTCGTTGTAGGTCTAAAATGTTTTTTAGAATGGTCCAATAGATCGAAATTACGAAAAACTAAAATTCTAAGAACTATATACTATATACATATATATTGATATTGGTATAACAGTATAGTATATGTAAAATATATTAGAAATTGATTACACCACCCAAAGCAACTTTTTGAAGTTAGGATAAAGAAGTACAAGAAAACAAGTGATAGCCTTGACCCCAATAAGCAATTTAAGTATAAGAAAAGCTTATACAGATGTTAGAATATTGAAGCTTTTGTAAACTCCCCATGGACGCAGCACATACGCAATTAATTGTCTCACTTTATCCCTGATTATGTATTTTATATTTCCAAGTATTTATACAATTTTTCTTTAGGGATTTGATATCATACGTTGCCCTATTTTGACAGTTTACTTGTATTATTCTATAAGGTAAATATAAAGTAATTTATATTAGTAAATCATTTTAAATTAGTAGTTATTAATTTTCAATAGAAAAATAAAGATGAACTGAAAACTACAAGAAATATATAAAACATTATACACACAATAATTCAAGATTGAACATACAGAAATATCTTGTTCATATTTTGCTCATGACTTCTGATCCTTATTTACCATCAATATTATATATTGAAAAAAAAAATAGTGAACATTTTCTGATAAACTTCAATCTCAACTAATTTTAATAGAAAAAACAGATGATGATGAAAATTCGAGTAGTTATGAAACCAAATCGGAAATAAAGAAAATTAAAAATTGAAAAAATCGCTTTTATTATTTCTATTCTAGTTTAAATATATTACTAAGTTTATCAATTCCTAATTTTATATTTATTAAATTAATTTTGAAAACCATTTTTATTGTTGGAAAACTTAATATCATTCTATTCCACTGTGACTCATATCGAATAATGATTTTAGCTAATTGCCGTACGCAGTTTGACACTTAGAGTTTATTATTTTTAATTAAAAAATAATAATCGTGACGACAATTATAATAATAATAAAAATGCACAGCACAAAAAATAAAATTCAAAGCGAACGTGTTCCGAACACGATAAGACTATTTATCACTAAACCGCTTACGTGAAATTCGATACATTTTTTTTTAAATCACTATGGGGATGTAACTCTCCAGTTAGTTAAATTAATTATAATGTATTTCGTGAAATATTCAACTGAACCATTTATTGTACGATGCATCGCTAAATAAATGATTAAAACTTCACCTGTAACGGTGTACGGTATAATTTAGTGCGGAAAACACGACCGACCCCGATATATTTTATAGTCATTTTCTCATTCGGGTGGTGTTGAATAATTTGGAAATAACTGTTAACGGCTTGAATAATCGTCGGCTAAACCGTTTTAAGCGCCTATGTATTTCAATTAAAATCTTGGAGATCATGTTGTATAGATATTTTCAAGCTCATCTGCGGTCACATATTACGATTGTTAATATTTAACCGGCGATGATTGATCATTATTAATCATTAAAACGCTTGTCATTATATCAATACAAATATTGCTTATTGCAATAATTGTGATGCATTAATGTGGAATCGTTTACACGGAGCCTATGTACAAGTCGAGTGACGTTTGATTAAATTTATACATTTTATGTTTTTCACGCATATTAAACATTGAAAAAGGGGTTTGAAGCAACGAATATTTTAATACACACGAGAGCGTTCTATTCAAAGCATACAGACTCACAGATTATGTTTTGTTTGTTCATGACTTTCAGTAGAACAAGAACTTCGTGGTTATAGAGGTGATCGTGTGAGTAATAATAGTAAATGTGAATTATTGGGATAGTGACTCGTGAATGATTAAAATTTCATAATTTAAATTGTCGATGCACAGATCAGGCTATTAGTAGAAATGAAGGTTATACAAATGTTTTGTGTGTTGCTCAAGTGTGTGTGTGTAGGTTTTTTTATTCGAGAATTTCCCTATATGCCTGTGTAATTTACGCCCTTTTCCAAATGACGTACAATAATTACCAGTGCATCTGAAACTGTTCACCAGTGAGTAAATATATTTTGCAAACAACGAAAATCCTGGAAATATATATATATATATATATTCTTCGGCACCGTATTCCTCCTGTAACCATCACGCTACTTAAGCTCCCTTTCTAATCGCCTTTGTAATCAACATGGACTCTACCTTAGTATTTTTTTTTCACTATTCAGCCGACCTATACAGTTTCGACAAGGTTTTTCCTTATACAATTTTATCAACATATGTCATTCACGTTCTCTTGTCATATCTATGTTATTTTGTGTTTAAATTCTATCTTATGTCAATTGGATAATCGGATTGAATTGTTCTTATTCGTAAAATATATTTTCACGAAAAATGTAATCGACCTCAATTATAAGAAATTCAATAAATATTAGTATTCTGGTAACCTTGATGTATTTTTTTAAAAATATTTTAGAAAATAACGGTGCAATGAACAGGGGTACAGTAGAAGAACCGATCAATAATTGCTCTGCCACGCCTACCCTTATTCGTTTATTTAATAATTCTGTTGTCTTGTATTAATTATTATCTTATCAACGCACTTTTTAGCTTCACGATTCATAAGAAAACAAAAAACAAACTCTTATATAGTTACTGAACCCGAATCCATTAAAATGAGTCATAAGTATCGCCACCAAATCTTATCGAAAAAAATAACCGTGCGTACAACATATGATGTCCAGTCTCTATTTCATCTACAAAGTTCTAAACACATAATACAATTAATTACGTACCCAGTCTGACTTACGATTATCGGCCAACTGTTACGTTTGTACTTCGATATCTACTCGAGACCGCCAGTCCGTGTTGTATGTTTGGCCACGGCGAGAGTCATTTATATTACAGGTATAATTGTTATTAACATGGTTTTGTTACATATTTGTATATCAAATACATAACATACATTTCAAATTTAAATCACTTCTTATAGTTCTAACCTTGTTCCATATTTTATTTAAAAGAAAAAAAAACGAAAAATCTATTATAAATAAGCCAGGGTTTTTATTTCGGTCGAATGTAAGTTTCACATGTAGGTAAAAATCTCTTTTGTGTATGTCTACACAAGTTCTAAGTTTCCACACAAAAAAAATAAATATATCGTTAAGTAAATTCCAACACGAAAAAATATACTGCTACATAAGTTTCTATGTGCATAAAATGTGTAACGAATATAAATTTCCAACCTATTTCATTTAGATTTATATTTGGTGTGATTAAAATTTGATTGTTTTGTGTTTGGTAAAAATATCTAATCTAATTATTAATTAGATCTATATATTATGAAATATAATCATCCACATATTGTACGTATTTAACATGATAACAATATAATTATATAATTATAATGATCATAATATTAATACAAATTCAATTTTATGTGCATATTACGAAAGCTCAAACTTTTAATATAATTATCCTGTGTTATTTATTTTAAGTTGTTTTCTAATATTTTGGTTTTTATATAATTTTGTTTATTTTGCTTACTTTTAGAGGTCTACAGGAATCTGATGTTTTTAATAAAATATATCAATTTATTTGAAACATTTTTAATACTTCTATTATTACGAATCTATTAAGATGATGATAGTGAAAGTTCAAGTTGAATTCAGATTGAAAACTTTTGCAACCATTTGTAGTAAAACATCTACAAAAACTAGCCCAAATATTAGAGGAAAAACACTATTTTCCACTAAGTAATTTATTACTAAATAATCATAAAGTTTGTTTATTTTATTATCTTGGTTTTCAGCCATGAAACA